TCATACTTCTTCTTCCACTGCTCGGCCGTCAGCTCCAGGTTCACCGATGCCGTGTTCTTGATGGTCTTGGCCCTGGAGGGGAGGCGGGAGGGGGCCCTTTCACGTGGGGCCCACGAACCAGCCCCGCCCCCCACTCTGCAGCGCTGCCTCCCGGGGCCAGAGCCCCCCGGGGAGTCAATCCCCAAGTCGCAATGATCTCTCCAGCTGGGCTTTCCCCTGAACTCCTCCTAGCGCCCCCCTCTGGTCCCCCCCCCCCCCCGCCCCCCCCCCCCCCCCGGGCTCCGGGACCCCCCGACATGGGGAACCAAGCGACCCCAGTCCAGCCCTCAGCCTCTCCCGGCACCTGCCCCAGCAGCTCCTGAGAGGATTTAGGGCCACTCCAGGCTCCCTTCCGGGTCGGGGACAACTGTGACCGGCTGCGGTGGGGTGGGGGGGGATCCAGCCTGCTGCTCCCGGCCCATCCCCAGGGGGATTCGCAGCGCCAGAGCCCAGCACACACAGGTGGGTGGGGGAGTTGCACCGGGGTAGCGGGTGGGCAGCGGGCGGCCCCACAGGGAGGGGCCTGCGGGCCCAGCGAGCGGGGAGACCCCCGGGGTAGCAGGTGGGCACCGGCTGGCACCAGAGGGAGGGGGGACCCCCGGGGTAGCAGGCAGGCAGCGCCGCGGGCGATGTTCCGGTACCGTTGGCCGAACATGAGGGTGGACTTAGTCTCGGCGTCGTTGTAGCTGGAGGGCGAGCAGCAGATGAACATGGTCGTGCGGCAGTTCCCGCCCAGCGAGTCCTGCAGGATCCGCGTCATCTTGCTGTCCCGGTAGGGCACGTAGCTCTTCTGCAAGGGGCGTGGGAGGGGAGTTATGGGGGGGGAGGGGGCGCTGGGACAAAGCGGGAAGGGTCTGTAACAGGTTTTTGACCCCGACGTGTGCCTGCCCAGCAGACCCCGGGCACTCCCTGTGGCCGGGGGACTCGCCAGCCTGCAGAGGGCAAGGGGGGCTCGCGGAGTCCACAGCCGAGCGTGAGAGCCACCAGCGGCTGGCAGAGCCTGGGCAGGTCTCCCCCGGCGGGCACAGCCAGGGCGCTCTCAGGCTGTGAGCAGGTGGGAGTGATTTGCCCCGACACCTTGGGTCACCCCGGAAGCATCATGGGGGCACCTCGGGGCAGGTGGGAGGGGCACAGAGGGGAGGTTATGGGAGGGGTGTCCTGGGGTGGGAGGGACACCCTGGGGCACAGAGTGGCTGGGGGGAGGGAGGGGTGCCCTAGGGGGGAGGGATGCCCAGGGCACAGGAGGGCTATGGGAGGGGTGCCCTGGGGGGAAGAGGGGTGCCCAGGGCACAGGAGGTAGCCAGGCTCAGGTTCCCCAGAGGAGGTGAGGAGAAGGGGGGGGAGCCTGTCATGGTTGGAGCGAGAGGGAGACCCTGAACTCCAGCTCTGGGGTGGGGGGCAGGGGGATCCCACCCCTGCAAGGAGCCCGCGGGGGGGGGGGGGGTCTGTCTCTCACCGTCCCCTCGGCCAGGGCCGAGATGACGTTGCCCAGGGCCGACAGCGACTTGTTGATGTTCTTGGCCTCGTCCAGCACGGCCCCTTCGGCCCCCGTCTTGCTGACCTGCCGGCAGAGCGGGTGTCGGTTATGGGGGGGCTGGGGGACTCCCGTCCCGATGCAGGGCGTCGCCCTCCCAGAGGGGTCTCGGCTGCAGGGCCTTCTCCCCCGGGACCCAGGCGTCCGGGCAGAGATCCCGAAGCAGGGTGGGGCGGTGCCTCTGGAGGACCCATGGGGGGGGGGTCCCAGCCCTGCCCACCCCCGGACACTCTGCCTCCCTTGCCCCCCGGCCCTGGCACCTTCTCGCTGCCAGCCAGGTCCACCAGGTAGAGCTTCCCGCTCAGCTTCTGCTCCGTCTCCATGTTCTCCTGCTTGATGTTGATGAGGAAGATGCTGTGGCTGCGGGAGCTGTGCTCGTTCATGTCTGGGAGGAGACGCAGGGGTGGGAGGCCTGCTGGCACCGGCCCCCCCCAGGCACAGAGCCCCCACCCGGGCACAGAGCCTGCCCTGACCCCCGGGCAGTGAGCCATTGCCCAGCCCCCATCCGCTCACCCAGCCCCCCACTCCCCAGCCCTGGGGGCCAGGGCTGATGGTGACTCCCAGGCCAGGGCCCGGCCCCAGGGCACCTGCCCGCCCCCCAGGCTGGTGCCCCAGCTGCTCACTGGTGACAGCCACGTGGCGGTTGGATTTGCCCTCGTCGATCACGTCCAGGATCTCCTCCGGGCTGGAGACAAAGCGCTCGGTGCAGCCCTGCGGGGGGAAGGGGGGGTGTCAGC